TTGTTCGGTTGCTTTTGATGATAATATGCCGACTGCAGACGAAGATATATATATTGATCTCAATCAAATACACAATAGGTTTTTCCATATTACAAACAATCAATTTATGGAGTTTTCAATGCATAATATTGTTATGACCTAGCAAACCAACTGAAATAACGAATTTTAATGAAAGCAAGTATATTTTGTTCATTTTTTATCTCAAATATAATTGACAAAATAATTATCTTGTCACGATGTTAATTGGACGAGTTTATAAATCTCTATTCAGACTACTGATTCCTAAAGTAAAGTGAAGAATCACATGTGCTTAATTTATTACCAATAAACTGATCACATTTCATTATTTGCAGGAGAAATGTATAAATTAAACAAAAATCTTTTCTAATTCAATCGAGACGTTATACTTAATTAACTAACTAGACCTATGGAATGTTTTGAGTTAGTTGAATAGATGTTTGCCATGGTACTGTGGTGGTCGGTATTCGATATAATCCTTAAACTTCGTATACAGTTCGTCTTGATTACCGTTCTATATAACGTCCCAACGGTATATTAATCAGAAGGCAAATACGAAGTGTTGATTAAGTTTATTGCGAGACCACACACATATATCCAAATGTACAGATGCATTAAACCAGCATAGAAGAGTTGTGCCGAAAGGCAAGCAAGCGAGCGGGAGCCAGAGCAAGAGCGAGACGAGAGCGTGTGAGTGAGTGAGTGTTGAATATGAATAACATGGACATATATATAGCATGTGAAATTAATGAGTAATCGAATCAAATAAGCGGTTAGTAGTGAGACTAGCAGAGTGAATAAATGCGTAGGCCGTAAGCAATATTCAAGCATACGTATTTCATACAAGCACAGAATAATAATAAGGGTACAATAAGTTGTTATAGTGCGGATGACTTTGTCCGCTAAATGAGTTAGCAAAAGGGCTTAACTGTGTTAAATGAGAATAAACTCAATTGCACATGAGTCACTATAGTATCAAAAATAATTCCTTCAAGTGTACATGGTTGTGATGATGATAAGTGCTGACATCTGGTTGTTCTCTTAGCTTCATCACTCGTCACGTAGTATTTTCATGAGATGAGTTAATGTACCAGTTATGATTAGATGTGTAACGTGAATATGGTCAACATTGTTGGAAACAAAACTCGGATTTTCTGATTAAAAAGATAGGGAATGATGTAATGTCGGACGACTTACAGTAGTTTGGAGAACAGATTTGTATTGAGCTTGAATAATCATGGAAAGACTGGGATGAGATCACATCGTCATCAGTAACTTTTAGGACTATAAAATTTATAAACCAGGACGTACATCAAACGATCAAATAACACGTGTTACAATTCCACTAGCATATAACTTTGGTTGAAGTGTCTATAATTTTAACTTTGCTTATGATTGCTGGAAAACGAATGTTAACTGACAACCAAAAGATATATCATGTTCTGTAGTTCGCTCCCCAATGCAATAAAAGTATAACTTAGCCATGAAATGTTTTGCCAGGAGACAACTAGAAATGAGTTAAATGAAATCATTGTTTAACAGTGGATGATTTCCCCCGCGAATATCAACTGCTTGCCTTATAAGATTGTACACTTCCTGAACCTTATAAGGAATAACAGCGTGTGCCTAATGAACATGTCTGTAGTCTAATGTCTAAAACAAATTACCAGTGATATATCCAATTGGTTAATCATCAAAATATAACCTATCGTTGTGGTGACAGACATTACAAAAAATGGGCTGATAAATGTCAGAAAATTAGAGTCCGGATCACCATCACCATGGCGTGTGATTTACAAACTTTCCTAGTAACATTGTTGATTTTAGTCAATAGAAATTATTGTAAGTGTTAATTTATGAATATTTTATTTCTTCAAATATGGTCTGGTCATTAATAACGCACAGGTATTTCGAATAAAAGGAACCAACAAAAATAAGATTTCAAGTGATTCAATCTATTGATTCAAACTATGAAAGACCTTGTTGCCATGATTGTCAAGTTATGTTATCTGTAATGAACACAGTTTAATCGGATTTACTGAGCTTGCTTTCAGAAATGATAGTAATCTTACCTAGCTCTGTTGATGCGTATTAAGTAAAATGAGATTGCTAAACAGACAGTATATTTGTCAATAATTGCTCTTTATTTGAAGGTTGTTGAACTTACCTGTGAAAATATTGGCTTATCTACGGATATTATTAAGACTAAAGTTAGTTAAAGTAAAACAATGGAAAAGTAAATGGCACTAGAATATAAACGAACGTATTCAATAAAGGGAATTTTGAGAGAAGTAAAATACATCAGTCTTTCCTGATTATGGTAAATACCCACAAATAATTATGTTTTATCCCTATAATTTAAAAGTATATGTACAATTCTCACTTCATCTATTCAGATACTTATTTGGTATTTTTGAGAGAGAATGGTATGAAATTCTATGGATCCCAATAACATAATGGTTTTAATCTAAAATAGATATTCTCCATACGACCATATTTGACATTATATGATTGTCAAATTTTAACTTTATGAATCTAGCTAAATCGGTTTATTAAGATTACACAATTGGTCAAACTGGTAAATATTATGCAGTTTAAATTCAAAAAAGATTACAACCTACTGATGTCTTGTTCAGGTGGTTTTGTGAAGATTAGTCTAGTTCGAAAGTTACAATCGACACGGTTTGATCTAACTCAACCAGTCACGATTCCCCACTAAAATCTCACATGCTTATCTCAAGTGTAGTCGTTAGTGGGCACATGATTTTGTTCTCGTTGGAAACTGTAGGAATTGGATTCGATTTACGAAGAATCCAGTGTGAATACTGCTGAGTAGTTCCATATAAAAACAAAAACAGTTATTTATTACTTTCAAGTTTTTCATGATCTTACAAATAATATCGGTCCATAACGACAATCACTAACAAAGCGACTTAGTGTAAGTCGATGAATGAAACGATATTAGCTTATTCTTTAGACTACTGGAGTTTGCATGAATATGAAAAGCCATTTATTCTCTAAAGAATAATTAGTGGGATATTATAAATATTCATTCAAAGTAAATAGCTTATTTGGTCACTGAGGTTGCATGTATGCACCTTCTAATTTGTACGATCAGTTTGTGGTGGCCTGCTTAAACTTTTGAGCCATTTATTTAAAGATTCAGTTATTGGAATAGCTTTTCCTATTTTAGAATTGTTCTAATGACGTAATTATGTATGTGAGTTGTACAACGTACTCGTGGACCTGTGCAGAAAATCCACAATCTTTTATGACATTAACCGATATCAGATAAAAAGGAAACAATATAGTGATAAAAATAGTTTCCCTCCTGTCTGTTTTAGGGAGAACTAGAGGAATATACATTACGATTTATGAAACAAAAGTTTATAGTGTGAAAATGGTCGACAACTGTTATGGTTGATGATGAACAGAAGATAAACACCGATGGAGCACATTGTTCAGTAGTTACAAATAAAGATTCTGTTAAACTAGAGTTTAAGGCATCATTGTATATTTTATGAGGGAAATTCATTACATTAACCAAGCACATAGAACTGTATTAAAATTGTTATTCATATTCACAACCTATTTATTAATTCATATAACTATCAGGGGAAATATAATTAAACAGAGCTGGATCAACTGCGATCCTAAACAACAATGGGAAGATTCAAACAACCAATATGTACGAAAACACAATTTTCTGATTTTGGATTTTATACCTTCTGATACTTCATGGTGACATGTTAAATTTTATTTTCACAATATTTAATTATCATTATAACCATTAACATGCTGATAGAACTAATAATATTTATTAAGGGATCTACGTTGAGGTGACAGCTTTAAGCTATTTCTGTTTTCATCTAAAACGTTAGAGTTTAAGAAGTAGTTCGGTATTTTTACTTTGAGGGGATCTACTGATCTTATCTAATAATATTTTTTTTAAGGAGCTCACGGGTTGTAGTCCTAGCATTAAAGAAAGATGACAGTATGCTATACATTCAATGGAACTATTAAAATAAGTTATGTTTTACTAACCGGAGAAGGGGGGGAAAGAATAAAATCTACGTTTCGATTTCAGTGTTTGACCATCTAACATCTGTTTAAATTGGTATCATAACTCCTTAACGGTGAGTACTGTTATTCCTGAGGACAAACACTTTACCTTGGTAAAGTTATTATTGCCGCTGGGTAGTAATGGGCCGTCCTCGTCCAATAAGTACCAGTTACAAGTGAATAACATTTATACAAATCTCAAATGATACAATCATGATCACAGGTTTAAAATGACTCTGAAATTAACCGTGCTGTTGTTACTTTGGGGGGGGGGGAATTTTTCAATTTGTTAACATAACTATTTTTCACGTTAAATATCGAAATAGTAAAATATATTCCCTTTTTGATTCAAAATACTAAACAGAGAATTCAGTTGTATATTATCTGAAGATTGACTAAATGTATGAATTCAATGTATAAAGTTTATTAGAATCAGAGATGTTAACGTATATAATCTTAGATTGGTTATCAAATTGTGTTTAAATTATTCTATAATCCTGCAAGCTAAAATAAATTAGTTCGCACAAGCAGATGAATTGTCATAGACGTTTTCAATACCTGTTTTGTTAATGAGAAATGGGTGATTTGTTGTTTCTAATTATAGTTATACTGTATCCAACTTTCATTACTTGATTCTCAACTACCGTTAACTAGAAAGTGGCTAAACCTTCTATTAACCGATTATCAAGAATCAGATTCTATTATTTCAGGTATACGTGATTAGTGAAGACTGTTACTATTCCTATGCATGCATTATTTAACGAGAAATTATTTCAACAGAATGTATTATTTATTTCGCACAATGAAACTCCATATAGAATAATTAACGTTTTAATTCGTTGGACGAAAATGAAAATTGGTGATGAATGGATAACTGTCTACAATTTTCCGGTAAACGTCAACTATTAAACAAAGTACATTCATGTTTCAAGCTATCATAAAAAGTTGAGAGTGGGTTTATGTTTGATGTTTATATCAGTAGTGAAGAATAAAAACACCCACGATTCTATTTAATTTTCCCATTGGTTAATCATCGACACAAATATTTTTGACCTTGTAACGACAACTAACTTGTAAAATATTAAAATTGCATAACTTGTATAACTGATAAAATCATAGGTACCTGAGAAAGGAAATCAATTTTAATACAATTCCTCATTACTATGAAGTTTAATTTACAAATTCCATTTGTGATGTTGATTTTAATCAATATAGAATACGGTAGGTGTGGACTAGTTGATATTTCTTTTCATCAAACAAATCTCAACATTTTACTTCAATTTGTTTATTTTGACTGGACTTATACATTGTCATGTGTTATATGTAATTCATACAGTCATCTATTAAAATTAATCATGTCTACATACAGTAGTGATCTATGTTTTACCCGGTTTTAGTTTGGTTTGTCTAATAACAAAAACATTTCTGAAAATTCGATAAATTCGTCATTTAGAACTAAATAAATACTATGATGATATTTTCTAGTTGATTTGTAATATTTTGATCATTTTTGGACATGAAACTTTAATGTGGATAAAATGTCTTAGTAAAAATACACGCAAAAGTTAGTCACTCAACTAGAAAATTACCTAGTCAATTCACTTGGTGTTGTTTTACTTGTATCTTCCCATTGTTATTTAGGACTGTTGGCATATATACATCCTGTACGGATTGTCTTGATATAGCCTTAAGTCATATACGTTTTTAAGCAAAGATGGATAGCGGCTAGTAGTGGAATCTAGGATACGCGTTGAATATATGGTATTCTTCGACAATAAAGAACTGCTCTTATCACCACAAAAGAAACTTCTGAGTATTTTGTAAACCTGTAAACCCAGTATGGGGAAAGGTGAAAACTGGTCCAATCAATACTTTTTTACTGTAGCTTTCTACTATGACACTAAAATAACACTGATTGTAAATATACCTGGAATAATAAAGAGCTCATCTACCGGTGATTTGCATCTGTCAAAACATCCTTAATTAAACACAATACCATCTACACTTAAATCATGATAATATTCGCCTTGAAATTCAGTATCCCTATAATAACCAAAGTCTCTCATAAATTATAGTTTGTTTCTCATTGATGAATACATTTTTATTTTGAAGAACCTAAGGTTACTATAAAAGTCCATAAAAACCTTAGTTAGGTATGTTTCAAAGTTAAATTCAATGCTAGAAGGTTATGAATATGATTGACAAATTTTCGCATGAAATTGTTTCAATGAGAAATTGAATTTTGAACTCTCTTAGTTTCACTTTATGAAATGACCACAGCAAAAAAATTATTGTACTTGAAACATTAACTAGATAAATATAGATACTGGCTATTAGTGGAATCTAGGACACGCGTTTCATCAGCTGGATGTACCTGTATCCCAGAGTGAACATCAACTCTAAGATGCAGGTGCATGTAGCTTGTGATTGATTAAAATTTCAATATGTATAAATCTTTTGGATTGTTGCTATTTAAATAATTAATCAATCGGATCAAAAATGGGAAGCTTTATTGACAAAAGCTTACTGAAACTAATGTGTGGTTTGTTTGGTTGAAATTTTCAGCTCATAAAGAGACAAAGCTAGGACCTAACTCACTTTTAATAAAGTAGAGTGTAATATTGACTATTGCCGGTGAACTAAATGATCAAGGGAACTAGTTGAATGGAACAGGGTTATAATGAAGTGAAACAATGCGGATTTGTTTACTGACAGGTAGTGTTATATAAAAGAATCAGTTATTTCGTTTGTTCCATAGTTATAGTATTTCTCCTAGATATTTTTGAGAAATCACTTATGAGTGAATAACAGCTCATCTACATCAAAGAAATACGACTAAACCACAAAATATTTAAAAAGCCGTAACATAAACTTTTGAGAGAAAAGAAAGACTCTTCCGCTACCACATCTATGTATTTGACAATAAACATATAACATCAGTATACTAAGTTGGTACACAGTTACTGAGAACGGGTGTGAGCATGATGTATTTGTATTGAAGAAGTTAAATATCGGCTGTTTATTCAGATTACTGGTTATAAAAATAAGAATAATATGCTATAGTAAACTATATTCATTGTAACTACAATAGCATTATTAGACAATCGAAATCAGAGATTTACATCATATAAGAGATTTGAAATATTAATTACACTTCGTCTGAAATTATTATTTTTTGCTGAATCTTCGGTATAATAACTGGAGTGAGGAACAAATAAACTATTGATGTAAAATTTAACCAGAATCGTCATCATCGCTGTTTCGGTCACCATCGACTGATTTATTTGAAGTGACTAATGAACAAACTTTGTTTCATTTTAATCAGTACGTGTATCAACGAATTGTGAAATGGAGAAAAATGATTTATTATTTATGATTATAATTATTCCCTATCTAGTTCTTTTGATTCAAGCCTAATTTTCAAGTCATTCTATAAGGTGATAAAATCATTTCATCAATGACTTCTATTATGAATGATGAATTGTAATAAATAAGTGTAAAACATGTTTCTCTTTCTCTCTAACAAGTGATAAACTTGTTCATCAACACATTTGGTTCTATTTCTGGGTATAACTCAAGTTTGTAGTTAACAGTGCATGAACAAGTGAAATCAAGTCTTTCAAGATGAATATAAAACTAAAAGAATTGTATTAAGAAAAATAAGCAATAAAAAACGAATATAAATGAGTGAATAATCATTGAAAGTTTTCTGGCAAACGTCAACGTTCAAATTAGTAATAATCTTAGCTACAAAATGATATCGGAAGTTGATAGACAGTATGTGTCAGCTGTACGCATTGATCACTTATATTTCTTATTGGTCAGTCATTAAAATATACATTTAGCACATTTTGTAAAGTAGCAAAGTTAAATAATTACAGAAATTGATACAATCTCAAACGTTTGGAGTTAGAATTTAGATTTCGTTACACTTCAAGATGACTATGATGTATCTTGCGCAAATTATATTGGTGACAATGTTGCTTCTGATAAACACAGAATACAGTAAGTGTTTATTTGTTAATTTTACATTATACCAAATAGTGGTTATTCTATGAATAGTTCATTTACGAGTATTGTACCAAAAAGTAGCGTAGACGGAGTTTTGCTCTATTTAGTTGTTTTATTTAGACTATGCATCATCACTTTATGACAAATGTTAGATAGTGTTATACATAATTTACATACTTCCTCTAATAGGATTTATTACCTTAATTAGCTTCACTCCGACTTACCATGTAAAATATTACTGCTCGAAAGCAATATATTCGTCACTATTGAGCGATTAATCATTTTCCTGTTAGAAATATCTGAAATTACTTTTGATCGTACGATCGAATAGCGGACATTCAACCTAATGGAGGATAAAGTAAGAGAATATAAGCTCAAATTGCAGTACATGTGTATTCAGTATGACAATTTTTCATCAAGATTAAGTACTTTCTGATTTACAGTAAAACTATTTAGTTCAAACTAACTATTATTTTAAAATTTTAGTAATTTTAATATCGTTAAGTGAAATCCAGGGAAGTTGGAAATGGAATAAAAGAGGTCCACAATCCTTTTGTTAATAGAATGAGATCAAATAGAAAGGAAATTTAAAATAAAAATTTACTTCTTTCACCATTTCAGTTTAATTTTCAATAGTACTGTAAATAATCGAAGATACTGCATCATGGTATTCCCTTGAAATAACTACCCACATATTCAGCTTACTATTTTAAGATGAGTTCAGATTATTTTACTCGATCGGTTGAATTTTAAAAAGTGTGTTGTGACGCAGGTTTTTGTCGACTGGACCCAATTAAATAATGTAATTCATATCGAGTTTCAAAGTGATATAGTGTAATCCATAAACTGTTTGTTGTGCAGATTGATAGGGGGAACGATCGAATCCAGTACACATTTGAAAACTTGGAGTTATAATTTGAAGTTACATCCTTATTTCTGGTACGTGTATAATTTGAATTGGTATATATCAGTAGAAACAACTTGTGTATAATAGTGAACAAGAACACAAGTGGGGATAATCAAGTGTATTTGAATACAAAATTATAAAACATATTAGTAAAATCTGAGATCTATACAGTAAACACTTCATTTGCAAAATGTCACTCAATCGTCTTAGACTTGATTGTTCCTTCATTTCCACGTCAATCACTTTCTGTTCTCGTTCATTTTTCTTCAATCTTCTTAACCTTATGCCTGCCAGACATTTTACTTTCTATTGATGATGCATACTACTTATATATGTTGACATCAGTAGTACACTTTTCTTTCAAACAGTTAATTATTTTGATTAAACAGATAATGATTTTAATTACTTTATCTATCTAATGCTGTTTCCTTCACAAACTATAATTTAATAGATAATGGATATTATCTATATTGTTGGGATTGATAAGATTTCATGTCATATTTTTATTTGTTGTATATGTCTTCATTATTAGTAATAGTGGGAAAGGGTTCGAATTCAGTTAGTCTTCTACATTTTCGAATTTAGTTAAATTTCATATGGCTAAACTCAGTGTTGTTACTGTAGATGCTGCACGTTTTTTTTCATTCTGTTGCAGGTTTTTATTCGAAATTAATAGTTAAAATATTTTATATTTTGACTGTGACATTACATTGCTTGCAAAATAATCTTTAATTTAAAATCAACTCCGGTAACTTAATTGTAAAAACTCTAACATGGCAATAGTCTTATTTGTATTTAAGCGAAAGAGTTTTTGTTGTATATATGTCATAGGTAAGATTTCGGAATTAGAACTAAAAATCTAATATTATCCATATTTTTGATTAAGCTCATGAACCGAATGATGTTAGAATACCACTGAAAACCTGGAAGCACTGGACGGCCGTTTCGTCTCATTGTGGGACTCCTCAGCAGCGCACATCCACGGTCCCTCTCGCGGGATTCGAACTCAGAGCCATCAGTCTTGCGCGCGAACGCTCGACCTACTGAACCACTGAACCGGCATCCAATGGTGTTAATGTCTAACCTCAACCAATCAATATTTATTGTATACTAAAATCATCTAGGTAAACTCTACCAACAAGTGAGTACTTCGCATTTGTTTTTGTCAGTAGTAAGAAGAGAATATGTGACTTAGTAATTTGTTATGTTGTCAGTAAATGCAGTTAAAGGAAATGATATTGTAAATCGTAAATACTCGTCTAGTTACTGATTAATTTATATCAATTACTACCTAGTGAAAGATATTAAATTTTGCCGACTGAACAGGTAAGTAAAGCACAGACAACGCGTCGTATTTTCGATAGTTTTTAAAACAGTGAGAGGAGGGTTCAGTGGTTTTATCTGTTGTGTATTATTTTTGTGTTGTCAATAAGGGTTAATCGCGTTCTTAATTTTCTTCTTTATATTAAGTTGTATCAGTACTTGCTCATTTATACAAGGAGAAGTAATCAACTATGTCTTTAATCATAATAAATAGCCATACGACGAGGAATGCCAGTATTTTAACGAAACATGTCTATAAAATACACCTTATATTTAGTCTCCAATAAACACATGATTAATAAAATGAATAGGCGATAATGAATTTTTCAATCTAGACCTTGTAATTACCACAAATCTGATGTCAGCTGTAAAGATCACTCAGTCTTCCCTGGCTTCCAATAACAAACTTTTCACGAGAAACTACTTTGAAATTATGAGAAATATATACAAAGTCATATTAAAAATAAGGATGATATTATAAAAGTTGGTCCTGTGTTGAATAAAACTAGTTTCAGAAGTAGTGTAGTGAACAGAACACCTATGAGGACAATCGAATGTACTAGACACAAAATTACAGAACTTGTTTATAAAATCTAACAATCAAATAGTAAATACGTAATTTGCAAAATTTCCATCAATTGTTTCAAAATTACTCAGACTTCATTGTTCTTGTATTTTCATACAAATTGCATTCTATCTCCATTCTTTACTGTTCGATCATTTTGTCTCTGCTGCCAAACGTTCTGTTTTCGACTAACATCATATACTACTTTTGTCAATATAAGTAGCACACACCACAATAGTATAAATACTTCACATATACATAGTTATACAGTTCTACAAAAACGTTATATTTTTTCCTAATCATTTTCAATATCAGGTCTATCATTGAAGTGCTACACATGCCGTTTCTGTTCAATACCATTTGATCCAAACTCACCACTAGTTACTGAACAATATGGTTGTACATGGTGTGCAGTAAGTTTAAAGAGTAAACTGTGTTCAAGTAATTTTTTGTTATTATTCATTTACTTATTGGATTTGACCAAGCAAATTTCCATCAATCAATTTGAAGAATCTAGGAAGACCTAAAATTTGATCCAATGCTACATCAATTCATTTGTACGATTATTAGCTAGAAAGTTTGATTTATCCAACGTACGGTTATTAGATTCAGATTAATAATTAACAAAAAAGTTGTGTGTTTGTGTGTTGTTTGAATGAACTAATGATACCTTTGTACTTGTTGAATGCTTGATTTCGAATTCTAAATAAAATACATTCGTTTGTGGTTATCTAGTACTTTTTGATCCGATTACGTTATTTCTGGGATTCTTAGTTCATGCTATAATTCAAATACTCCTGATTATCACAGTTTGTATATACATTAAAGGTTTAAGAAATTATACAACTAAAACTTTTATAGTACAATGCCATCTTCATTTTTGTAATGTATGTACATAAATAATAGTGATCAGTCCAAATTAGGTGTAGTTTTCTATTTGAATGTTTTTGGACAGGAGTATTCTCTTTGCTTGTTTTATTCATCTGATATATTTTCATTGTATTCATTTACTTTTTATTACAGAAAATTAGGATAGAAGGTATACCCTTTCCACATAGACTCTGTGCAGCTGATTGTGGATTTAATTACTGGAAAAGAAATTTTACTTCCTTTAGTTATGACTGTTGCCAAACAGACTTATGTAATAAAAGCATACAGACTCGGGTAACACATAAATTTCTACTTAGTCTTGTCTTAATTTTTATTTGTTATATTGTTAATAAGAAAAACTGAAACAATATCAAAATTCACTTATTACTACATACACACTTTGTTGTTTATTTGCACTTTAACTTACCACTCAAATGTATTTCATTTAACTTCATGTTGTAATAATAATCATCTCTTTTTAAAAAAAAGTTAATTTTGATTTCCGAATTTCCAAATTTGTAGTATCATATGCATATCACACTTAGAATGTAGATGCTTAATGAACCTACTTAAGTTAAACATCGCCTTATATTGGATGAAATTGATTAGTTTCTTAGAATTTGTAGTTATCAGTAGGTATTCATGTATTTATGCATTAGAATACTTACAAACATTGAGAATATTCATTTACTATAAAACTGTCTCGTAATGAAGGAATGAAAGTGTTTGATTCAAGCCAATTTTTTAGACGTATATATTCTACTACAGCCTTTTATTACTTATTTACTTACACCTGTTACTCCTCGTGGAGGAGCATAGACCGCCAGCCCACCAGCACTCTCCATTCAACCCTTTCCTGGGCAAACTTTTCCAGTTCTTTTCAGTTGTTATTCATCCTTTTCATTTCTGCCACGATTTCCCGAATTAATGTGTTCTTTGGCCTTCCTCTTTCCTGCATCCCTTCAGAATTTAAGTTAGGGCTTGTCTCGTGATGCAGTTTGATGATTTGTGTAATGTATGTTCTATCCACTTACAACGTCTTTTCTTAATTTACTCTTTAGCTGGGAGTTGGTTTTTTCTCTTTCACAGAAGGTTGCTGCTTATGGTATCCGTCCAATGGATGTTGAGTATCTTGCGTAGACAGCTGTTTATAAATACTTGTACCTTCTTGATGATGACTGTAGTAGCTGTTCAATTTTCAGCCTCGTAGAGTAGACTTGTCTCGACGTTTGCATTGATGATTCTGACTTTGATATCGGTTGTCATTTGTTTTGATTTCCATAAGTTCTTCAATTGTAAGAATGAGGCCAAGCTTTGCCACACCTTGTATGCTTAATTTTAATCCTCAATTTTACGTATGATAGACGATGTAGAAAAAATGTCATTTTGTTTCCTTTGTACTATTTAAATTTGTATTATTTTAATTCGGTTACTTATTTATTCTGAAGAAATGGCTTACATTAAGTCACGAAACTTCGGAAGTATAATTTTCTATCAATTGAAATATAACACAAAGTAGATATATATATTAGTATACTCATGTACTTGAAGCGAATAATATTCATAATCTAAAACGTTGGAATTATTACCGAGTTCTTTAACGAATATCGTGATAGATGTCTATATATATATATATTCTGAAAACAACTGTACAATGAACACTAGTTCATAAGTACGACCAGGTTGAATGTAACATGTATGAAATAAGGATTCTTTATTTGGAATATGTAATTCACAAATTGTTTTGGTTGAATATTTGTCAAGAAGATTGCATTAACGTGAAGTTCAAAATATGAGCCTAAGGTATCTGGTTTTTTTATTGGTAAACGTTATTTTTCTTTTTTTAAGGGATAAAGTCGACAACATTTTTGTTATTCATAATTCTGCGATGACTTTTTCTGATGTCTGATTGGTTGTTATTACTCATAGTTTGGTGACTTTGTTGTATACTCCAACATCACTGTATGTTAGCAAATAAACGAAATTGCTTCATTTCAATTTTTCGCTTCCGTTCAAAATACAAAGCTATCCTGAAAGTCCTATTTTCTCTACTTCAAATTAGTGTGTGGATTATAAACATTAATACCACAGAACCCGTTCGCATTAAAATATTCTCGATCGTTCGTAAATAGCAGCTACCTTAGCCTCTAATTTAGATAGATTTACTGAGTTTTGATGGGAATATATAATGGAGGATAAATGAATAATCATAAGTTAAGGCATTTTAGAGAACGTTGTTATCAGATCAAATACGGAAGTAGTCATGTGGCTCATAACACAGTTCTCTTTAATAAGCAGTATAAAAAAAAATAAATACTCTAAGAAATCAGCAGCTAAAAAGTCATAAGCGTTCTGGTGTATGGGACTCAGAAGTTAAGAAACAGTATATTTGTATTTACAATTGGTTGATCACTGCGTGGTGATCATTGTCATGTATGTCAGGTTCTTATTAGTGCAGATCGAATCCTATATTATATATTGTGACTACAGATTCTAAAAATATCATAAATTCTTGCGGTTTTGTTGATATACCATAATTCAGGAAAAGAAGCCTAACTATTGTATTAAAACAAGGTTTCAAAATTATCAATTTCTATAAAACATTTGGTATAAAACAATGAAACTGTCATCTGTTTTAAAAGTCTATTCACACTTTAACCATGCATGCATTCACATAAAGTGATATGGAAGTTGAAAAAGTCTAAATACTCTGAAAGTTTGGTTGAAAAAGAAGCGTGAATTCATATTTTTAGTAGACGAAACGTAGAAGATGTATTACAAATACATTCTTCCTTTTTAGACGTATTACTAGTTTAAAATTTATAAATTTAAAGGTGGTCTGACTACTTATTGATCATCAAAACAAATTTCTGATGATTTCCAATTAATATGATGCTGAATATTTTGATTAAAATTAATCAGAGGTATTCTGATCGTTCATTAGTATATTTCATTAAGTTACCATTAAACAAACTGATAGAATATACAGCGTAACATATTATTTTAAATTCGTTTACACCAGAATACTGCCGTACTCAAAAGTTCTGTGGGAGTATATAAATGGTGTTGACAGTGAATTCAAGGAAATTGATTTTTGTATAAGTTGTGTATTTTAATTGTATCCTTTTCATACTTTTCTTTAAATTTAACCCTTTTAGATACTTAATATTCTGAACTGTATTTTACCAGATTTAACATTCTAGTCATATTATTCAACGTAAAGTACTATACTGTAAATTAACAAGATTTTTCGATATTTTGATTGTTGATTGGGCACTTTACAAACTAACTTCACATTTAAATGTTTCTTCTATTTTACCTTCATCTATACTAAATGTAACGTGTAATATGGTTATAGTTTACAATTTAATTAGTAAAACTGTACTCATCCCGTATTTATATTTGAAGTAATCATGTGATAATAGAGAACTATCTAAGATGCGTAGGCTATATGGCATTCTTTTATAAAAGTATTTCCACAACAAATACTTCCAAATTTCATTACAATTTGTTCTTTCTAAATTGAGTACTAAGTGAATACATAAACAAATATTTCGTTAATTGATCCGGATCGATCCAACATTATTACTGAATAATTAGACATTTAGAATTGACAGTTAATAATTATTTTTCTCTAAAATTCAGATTTTGGTGATATTTGGTTAGTTATTTATAAAAAAAATTTTTCTTAGAAAACTTAGAAAATCAAACGTCATTTATCTTAATTTATGTCTAAATCTTTCTCATGTGACTGAATTACGAAAAACAATTAGTGAATAAATAATATTTATCAATCAGAATTTTGTTCATGTAACTGATTTTTTTCGGGTTAGCGATTTTTTTAGCGAGTTAGTTTTTTACGGGATGGGGTCGCTAACCCTATGCCCTATCCTCCTCCTTTAGTCGAGTTCGGGACCAGCAATATCCCTAGAAGAGCTACAGGCGGAGTTAGCATCATCGATGAACGAAAAGGATCTGATTCAGATGTAAAGGCGAGGACTGGGAAAGTAAGGACAGCATTCCTACGATTGTAGGACATATGGGCATATGTGAATTCAAATGTGACTAATATAGGCAATGTGTATTCAATTATTTTACAAACAAATTTATTTCCGATAATGTAAAATTATTCTATCATTCTCAAAAGGAAAGCTAGTAGTTTTGAAACGTGAACTGACTGATGTGTTCACACCCAGTTTACTTGTTATAATTTCTTAGAGGTTCGTTAAATTAGCACAGAATTCTTTTGAATATTTACTTGAAAATAACAATATGTTGCCAATCAGGAACATTCTAATTGTTTTTACATTCATGAGCTAGTCAAGAGGAAGAAAGTTACTTACTTACTTACGCCTGTTACTCCCAATGGAGCATAGGCCGCTGACCAGCATTCTCCAACCCAAAGAAGAAGAAAGTTAGACAGTACATTTTGATTCCTTGAACATTTCTACTCACTAGAAAATCGCACAAATTTTATGTAATTTAAATGAGTTTAGGTCATCAGTATAGAAATTAAAGACTAAGCTATTGTATAACACGAATCCCAATCTCTTGAAAAGCATCTGTTTTGATGCGTTCTGAAGACTGTGATTTCACATAAATAGGTTTCTGACGTATCGTGTTTGATATTTATGTCGAGACATTTAGCTCATTGATCATATAATAAACCTTATTGATATAATTTTATAAACACTATAAGCTTGACATTACTACATTGTGATGGATTGATGAAATATTTAAATCAACCTGGTAAAGTGCTCACCTATCTTAATCTTGCTATTTGCCTAAAAAAGGATTTCTTTCATGTCAATTAAGCGTATAAATCACAAAATATTTATATGAATGAGCTCTAAGGTAACCGGATTGAACGTAGTTCTCGTCTTAATAACAGCATTTGGTGTGATAACGTATTTTTATGTTAAAATAAGCGGTCGCATCTTTTCACCACGATCTATATGATAGTTATTCATTTCGAAATATTTTTGGTCGTGTTGATTTGCTTTTTCTGTGTTGTTGAGAAATGCAATAACTAGGATTAATGAAACTTTATGTTATGTAATTGTATCTTATATTAATCCATGACATGGATAATTTTAAAAGAATAATTCAGATTCAATATGTGGTACCAACATTGGTGGCAATGGATGATGGTAGTTCAATATAGTCAGCTAACCGAAGTTGGAAATCGAATTTATTAAATCGTGACCAGTAACATGACCTGAAGGTCTTTATCTTAATTCCAGACCAGTTAGTTGGTTCAATCTTTAAGGGATTTTGTATTCAAACGAAATAGCTGTTCAGAACCTAATAATCAGATAGAATCATACAAGTAAGTGATGTTCCCTAAGAACTAACAATATTTATAAAACTACAGGAAATTAAAGATGACGGCTTGACACAAAATAGTTCCAAGAACACGTTTGGTGCCAGTCTAAATGATGTATATATATATATATATATATATATATATATATATATATTTCTCTTTTTATTCAAGAC